CGTGCGTACGCACGGTTTTATAAATCCGAAATTTTTTTGGGCGTACGCCATTTTTGTCTTTTGGCCGTACGTTCACTTTTAGTATGGTTTCCATGCAATCCTTTATAAATCTGACCCCAGAAGCTTCCAGAAGCTGGCTGTTGTGCCAGTAACATGGATGGTTTTGAGGAGCAGTTGGCTGGACAGTCAGAAAGTACCACACACATCAAGTTGTCCAGATTGTCCAGAAATAACAGATTGTTCATCATTTAGCCTGCATACAGAGGTTCTGAGAAAATCTCACAGATTTTCTTTCAAAAAAACATTGCGTCACTTTTATGTCCCAGAACCAGGCTGCAAGCCAATGCTTTACCAATTCCTTCTTCTCCCATTAGTCCAGGGGTGGGCATGGAGGGCTGCAGCCCTGCATGTTTTACTTGTTTCTCTGCTCCAACACACCTGATTTGAATGAATGGGTGATTATCAGGCTTCTGCAGAACTTGGAAGAGGTAATTCAGTGACTGAATCGTGTGTTGGAGCAGGGAAAAAAGTAAAACATGCAGGGCTGCGGGCCTCGAGGACCAGGATTACCCACCCTGCACCCTGCTCCCATGCAAARGCCGCCAACCCCACCTACCAACAACACCCCTGCCACAAATGCTGTGGGTGTAATCATCTATAAAAGGGGCAAAAATAAACATCTTGCAACAACGTGATCCAAGCTGTTTGGCTTTAAATGTAATGTGAAACAAGCTTTAGGGTGAGGCTTTCTAAGCACATTGAAGTTTGAAATAGTGTAGACTGTGGAACAGTGGTCAGATCTGTCGCCTTACAGGGTTGCCAACTCAGCCCCTCCAAAATACYGGATAGCTCAGCAGTGGGTGGGGCTTAATTACATACAGCAACGTGTCAACTGTGACGTCACCACGCAATAATTATGATTTCCCCAACATTTGAGTTACATCCACCTAAACAAGATTTTGTTTCTGTTATTTCCATGTAACATGATGGATTAAAAAGAAGGATTTAATCAACACTATGTTTTTATTTGTTTTTCTTACAACCTTTCAGCTGCTGATGGCCTCAGTGAACATGACAAAATAATGTAAATATAAACATACATGTGATTATGAAACTTTTCTAAGCATTTACTACTTAAGAAAATATCTGTTCAAGGACAAGTTTATTGAAATGGAAATCAGGACTTTACTACGTCTACATAAATGCTACGTTTTTTTTCTAATTAAAGTGGAACTGCAATGATTTGATCTGAATTCCACCTTATTGTACCCCTCCCCCCCCAGATGTGCCTCAGTTCAACTCGTTTTGAGGCTGTCCCTTTAAATCCAAATGAGGCTCTTCTCTTCACCC